AGGCTACAATTAATTTAATTACTTTGTAACTAAAGATTGTTAATGTAATGACGATAAACCATGTTTAATAAATGTCTTGCATTTAATGCCTGTTTGCGATAAAAAAAAAAAAAAAAAAAAAAAAAAGTTACTTATGAAAATTTTTAGAGTGTATTATAAAAACATTATAAAATTTTAATTAAAAAACATGAAACAAAATTTTTTTGATATTCTATTTTTTTACTACAATTATAAATTATATAAATTATTTAAAATTATTTTAATATATAAATTTATTAAAGAGTATCCATATATTATAAATTGATTTTTTTAATAATTTTTTTTATTTGACAAACTTAAAATTTTTTATTAATATATATATTTTTATATAAAATAAAATTTCTTTTAAAATTTAAAAAATTTTTAAAAATCAAATTTATAAAATAAAAAATAATAATTTTGAATATTTATCTTAGTATTATAAAGAATATTTGATAATTTTTTGTTTAATCAAAAAAAAAAATTTTTTTTAATTTTATAACTTGATTTTTTAAAAAAAAATTTTTATTACAAATAATTATATATTAAATATAAGATATTTATTAAACCAATTTATTATTATTATATTATTAACCCTTTAAAATATTTTTTATAATAAAAAACATATTTTCTATAATTATTGATATACAAATTTATATAAATAATTAGTTAATAAATTTTGATATACTTGATTTATTATTTTAAATCAATATTTTACAATAAATTTATTAATTAATAATTAATTAAAATTTAGTAATTTTATTATTGTATTATAAAAAATATATTGTTAAAATTTTTTTAAAATTAAATAATTATTTATTAAATTATAATAAAAAATATATGTCCAAAGATTTTCTTAACACACTGTAAATGTTATTAAAATTTAATTAATATACTGAATAAAATTATTAAAGATATTTAAAAACCTTAACAAATTTATTATATTAGATAATATAAAAACAATAAATTTATCATATTAGGTAATATAAAAACAATAATATTTATTTTAATATTTACTTATTTTATTTAAAATATTAATATTATAGGAAATTAAATATTTTTTCAATTTAATTTTATAATATGTAAGTTTATTTAATGAAATTACCAGTAAATAATATAAATATACAGAACAATAAAAATAAAGGAAATATACAAATAATCAAATAATAAGAACAAGATAAATTTTATAATAATACTAATTTCAGTATATAAGAAATTATAATGATATAGGGAATGTTACTTTATTAATTCTGACAATATCTAATGTGATTAGTATATTGCATTTTATTATTACGATTTTATCTCCAAATCAATCATCTTTGAATCTATACAAAAAAATCATTAATAAATCCCACACAATTATAATACAAGAAAATGGATCAATTTTTTTTTAAATATTTACCTTCCCAATACCGTTCGGAAACAACATCAGTATTAACAAATTTGCTTGTATACTCAGAATCTTGGTGTATTTGCATAGACATTGGCAACTTTTTAACTATTTCATCAGATTCTAAGAATTTATTAAACATTTCTACCTTTGATTCATCAATTTCATCGATTTCATCAAACTCAAAGCTGTCAAGCTCTTGAGTATCATCATAATCTTTAGTTTCATCAAACTCATTAATCAAATGATACCACTCTTCTAACTTATGAAAAATTTCTTCAGCAGTAGGCCGTTTTTGTGGAGCAAAGTTCATGCACAGTTCTGAAAATTCGACATAAAAATCTGGAGTTTCTAAAGCAAATTTTGGTCTTAATCCGTTACAGATTCTTAATGCTAAATCCTCATTAAATGAATGACCGTCAAACGGTGGTGTTCCAGTAGTTATTTCCGCCATAATAACACCGAAACTATATATATCAGATGCTTGCGTGTAATTTTTGCCTAACAAAATTTCAGGTGCAATATAAGGTATAACTCCATAAATTCCTTTTTTACCTCCAGTATCTTCGTTTTTCCGGGACAATCCTAGATCTATAATATAAGTCTTTGATCTTTCAAGCCACGATCCCTCTTTATGTAACACAATGTTTCCACTATGTAAATCGCAATGAATATATTTTGCTTCGTGGATTAGAGACAAATCTTTTGATATATCCATCAATCGTGATAATTTATCTTTCCAAGTAAGTTCTTTAAAATTCGTTTCTAAATAGTGACGAAGATTGCCATTATTGGCATATTGAAGAACTATCATATATTGGTTTGTAATTGTGTTTTTGGTTAATCCATATACTTCAAGGCTACTCCCCATTAATCTACACCGCATGTGATTTTTAAACTTTACAAATAAACCTATGTTAGCGTGCTATCAGTTAAACATAAAATAATATGAAAAAAAAAATACAGGACTAACTTCTCTTAAGAAATCCATTGAATTCGAAGAACTAGTTAATGTCTTGAGTGCGACTAAGTGAGATTGTATTCGTGACTGTATGAATCCTTTGCCGTCATTTAGAACCTTTCTTTTTCCGTCTATCCAGTTTGCGGAAAAAACATCACCAAATCCCCCTTTCCCAATCTGTTGTATATTATTTAATCTATTAAAAGGGATCCATTCTATTACTTTATCATATTCAGTGGCCATAAATTGTAACTCTTTGATACAATTATTTACATCAATACTTTCGCTTGTCCATACTTGATTCATTTCAAAAGGATCACACGATTGACACCAGCCTCTCGAAGTGTTATAATGCCCATCCCATCTGCATACCCCGTATTTCTCATCTCTCCTAGAAATACAATAATCAATTACAATCATATATTGTTTCGATGACGCATTTTGAGTTATCCCAAATATTTTATGCCCATTGTTCTCAAATTGAACAAAACTTTTAAACTTATAAAACAGAATAGAAAAATCAGTTGCGTGTTTCTAAATAAGCAGTAAGTGAATGTTTAACTTACTTTTTTTATAAATTCTAATGCATCAGTTTGACACCCATCAAATTTTTGAAGTTCTACTAAACATGGTAGTGTACGCAATTGTGCTTTTTTTTTGACTTTACGTATTCCATCAAGCCATAATGCATAAAATTTGGATTCGTCTATTTTGTGCAAGTTAGATAACCTATTAAATGGAATCCATTCAATTACATCTTCATATCTTGTACTTTTAAGTTGAAATCCTTTAATGCAATCATCAATATCTTTACTTCCACTGGTCCATCCTTGAATTACTTTAAAAGGGTCACAGGATTGGCACCAGGCATCTGAAGTATTATATCTATTGCAATGTGCACATTTTCCATATGTAATATCTCTTCCATAATAGAAACCATCAAATACGATCATATATTGATCAGTTGATGCATCTTGTGTTATTCCGTATAATCTAAGTTTACTATCCTTCAATTGCATATAATTTTTAAACTTTAAAAGAAATATAAAATTAGTGTCGTGCTGCTAATAAAATTACAAAAAAAAATCATAACTTACTTTTTTAATAAATTCTAATGCGTCAATTTGTGAATCATCAAATTTTTTAAGTTCAACCGAATGTGATAACGTGCGTGACTGTACAAATTCTAATGTATTAACTTGTGAATATGACAGTTTACGTGACTCGACCTTTCGTATTCCGTCTAACCACTGTGCCCTAAACTCGTATTCTCTTATATTTTGCAAGTTTAATAACTTATAAAAAGGAATCCACTCAATGACGTCTTCATATTTAGTAGCTTTAAGTTGAAACTCTTTAATACACTCATCGATATCACTATTTCCACTGGTCCATCCTTGAATGGTTTTAAAAAGATCACACGACTGGCACCAGGCTTCTGAAGTATTATATCTTTCACAGCGTATACACTTTCCATATATGATATCTCTTTTGTGATAAAAATCATCAAATGCAATTATATAATGACCCGTTGTTGTATCTCGTGTTATTCCATATAGTTTGCTTTCATTATTCCTCAATTGAATATATTTTTTAAACTTGAAAAATAAATAGAAAAATAAATATCGCGTTAATAAATAAAATCACAAATAAAATACATAACTTACTTTTTTTATAAATTTTAATGTATCAATTTGTGGACAATTAAATTTCTCAAGTTTGATTACACATGATAAGGTACGTGACTGTGAATTATTTTTGACTTGTCGTATTCCATCTATTAATAGTGCTAGAAATTTTGATTCTCCTATTTTTTGCAAGTTAAATAACTTATTAAACGGAATCCATTCAATTACATCCTCATATCTTGTACTTTTAAGTTGAAAATCTTTAATGCAGTTATCGATATCCCTATTTCCACTAGCCCATCCTCGAGTAGTTTTTATAGGGTCACATGATAAACACCAGGCTTCTGAAGTATTATTTCTCTCGCACTGATTACATTTTCCAACTGCAATACCCCTTAGATAATAAAAATCATCAAATACAATCATATATTGATCAGTCTTAGTGTCCTGTGTTATTCCGTATAGTTTACATTCATTATCCTTAAATTGAAAATAATTTTTAATCTTGCAAAAGAAAATATATAAATTAGTGTCGTGCTACTAAATAAAACCACAAACTAAAATCTTTAACGTACTTCTTTTATAAAATTTGATGTGTCAATTTGTAAATTATTTAATTTCTGGATTTCAACTGAATAAGATAATGTACGTGATTGTGTATTATTTTCGATTTTACGTATTCCATCCAACCACAATGCTTGAAATTTTACCCCTGTTCTTCGCAAATTAGACAGCCTATTAAATGGAATCCACTCAATCACATTTTCATATTCAGTACTTTTAAGTTGTGCTTCTTTGATAAAAACATCGATATCATTGTTTCCACTAGTCCATCCTTGAGTAGTTTTAAAAGGGTCACATGACTGACACCAGGCTTTTGAAGTATTATATCTTTTGCACTGTGTGCATATTCCGTATACAATGTCCCTTCGATAATAAAATTCATCAAATACAATCATGCATTGATTAGTTTTTTCATCCCATGTTAGTACAAATATTTTACGTTCATTGTCTCTTAATTGTGCATGATTTTTGAACTGTACATAAAAAAATATAAAAATTAGTTCGTATTATCAAATAAAATCATAAATAAAATCTATAACTTACTTCTTTTATAAATTTTAGTGTGTTAATTTGCGAATTACTAATTTTTGCAAGTTCAACTGCATATGATAATGTACGTGACTGTATATCATTTTTAACAAATCGTATTCCGTCTAACCACAATGCTTGAAAATTGGATTCCATTTTTTGCAAATTAGATAACTTATTAAACGGAATCCACTCAATTACACCTTCATATATCGTACTTTTAAGTTGTAATTCTTTAATAAAATAATCGATGTTATCATCTTCACTAGTCCATTTTTGGGTTGTTTTAAAAGGGTCACATGATAGACACCAGGATTTTGAAGTATTATATCTATTGCAATGTTTACATCTTCCATATTTAATATCTCTTTTGTAATAAAAATTATCACATACAATTAAATATTCACTGGTTGTTGTATCCTGTGTTATTCCGAATATTTTCCGTTCCTTATCTCTTAATTGCATATAATTTTTGAACTAGAAAAATATAAAATTAGTGTCGTTCTACTAATTAAAATCAGTAAAATCTTTAACTCACTTCTTTTATAATTTCTAATGTGTCGATTTGCGAATTGTCAAATTTCTTAATTTCAACTGGATAAGGTAATATACGTGACTGTGTATTATTTTTGACAATTCGTATTCCGTCTAACCACAATGCTTGAAAATTTAATCCGATTTTGTGCAAGTCGGATAACCTATTAAATGGAATCCACTCAACTACATTTTCATAGCTTGCACTTTTAAGTTGAAACTCTTTAATATAGTCATCGATATCCTTATTTCCACTAGTCCATCCTTGAGTTGTTTTAAAAGGATCACAAAACTGACACCAGGCTTGTAGAGTATTATATCCATCGCACTGTGTACATATTCCATATTTGATGTCCCTTTTGCAATGAAAATAATCAAATACAAATAAATATTCACTGGTTGTTGTATCCTGTGTTATTCCGAATAGTTTTTGTTCACTATCTATTGAATTTATATAATCTTTTAACTTTGCATGTAAAAAAAATAAAATCAGTACCGTTCTACTAAATAAAACCACAAAATAAAATATTTAACTTACCATTATAAAATCGAATGTCTCGATTTGTAAATTATCCAATTCTAAAGTGTCGATTTGTGAATTATCAAACTTCTTAATTTCAACCGGATAGGATAATGTACGTGATTGTATATTCTTTTTAACAAATCGTATTCCATCTACCCACAATCCTTGAAAGTTTAATCCTACTTTTTGCAAATTAGATAACCTATTAAACGGAATCCACTCAATTACGTTTTCATATCTTTCACTTTCAAGTTGAAAATTTCTAATGCAATTATCAATAGCTATATTCCCACTAGTCCATCCTTGAGCTGTTTCAAAGGGGTCACATGATTGACACCAGGCTTCTGAAGTATTGTATCTCTCACACCGTGTACATTTTCCATATATATGACTCCTTTCATAAGAATAGTCACTAAATACAATCATGTATTGATCTGTCGTTGTATCCTGTGTTATTCCAAATATTTTACATCCATAACTATCCAATTGCGCGTAATTTTTGAACTTATAAAAGAATCATAAAATTAGTGTCATGCTACTAAATAAAACCACAAAATAGAATCCCTAGCTTACTTCTTTTATAAACTCTAATGTGCCAATTTGGGAATTATTAAATTTCTTAACTATAACTGGATAAGACAATGTACGTAACTGTCTGTTATCATGGACAATTCGCATTCCGTCTAACCACAATGCTTGAAAATTTAATCCGATTTTGTGTAAGTCAGATAACCTATTATAGGGAATCCACTCAATTACACTTTGGTATCTTGTACTTTCAAGTTGAAACTCTTTAATACAGTTGTCGATATCCTTGTTTCCACTAGTCCATCCTTGAGTTGTTTTAAAAGGGTCACATGATAGACACCAGGCATTCGAAGTATTATATCTATTGCAATGTTCACATTTTCCATATGTAATGTGTCTTTCATAATATAATTCATTATATACAACCATATATTGATCAGTTGTGTTTTTTGTTATTCCGTAAAACTTAAGTTTAATGTCTATCAATTGCATATAATTTTTAAACTTGTAAAAGAAAACAAAAATTAGTGTCATGCTACTAAATAAAAACCACAAAATAAATTCTTTACCTTACTTTATGTATAAATTCTAATGTAGTTATTTGTGAATCATTGAGATTTCTAAGTTCAACTGCATGTACCAATAAACGTGACTTTATGTTATTTTTGACAACTCGTATTCCATCTAACCATAATGCCTTAAAATTTAATCCGATTTTTTGCAAGTCAGATAACCTATTGAATGGAATCCACTCAATTACATCTTCATGTCTTGTACATTTAAGTTGAAACTCTTTAACACAATCATCGATATCATTATTTCCACTTGTCCATCCTTGAGTTGTTTTAAAAGGGTCACAAGATTGACACCAGGCTTCTGAAGTATTATTTCTTTCGCACTGTGTACATTTTCCATATATATAACTCCTATTATAATAATAGTCATCAAATACAATCATATATTGATTAGTTGTTGTATCCTGTGTTATTCCAAATATTTTACGTCCATAATTCTTCAATTGTACATAATTTTTGAACTTTGCATGGAAAATATAAAATTAGTATTGTTCTAGTAAATAAAACCACATATTAAAAATTTTAACTTACTTCTTTTATAAATTCTAAAGTGTCGATTTGTGAATTATTAAATTTCTTAATTTCAACAGGATGAGATGTTGTATGTGACCGTGTATTATTTTCGACTTTTCGTATTTCATCTAACCATAATGCTTGAAAATTTGATCCAATTTTGTGTAAGTTAGACAACCTATTATATGGAATCCACTCAATTACACCTTCGTAGCTTGTACTTTTAAGTTGAAACTCTCTAATGCAGTCATCGATATCTTTATTTCCACTAGTCCATCCTTGAGTTGTTTTAAAAGGGTCACATGATTGACACCAGGCTTTTGTAGTATTATATCTTTCGCACTGTGTACATTTTCCATATTTAATATCCCTTTTGTAATAAAAGTCATCAAATACAATCATATATTGACCGGTTATTGTATCCTGTGTTATTCCGTAAAGTATATGCTTTTCATCCTTTAATCGCATATAATTTTTAAACTTTTGAAATAATTTAAGAAAATTAGTGTCATATGCCGCTAACCAAACCACAAAAATAAAATCATACATACATTTTTTATAAATTCTAATGCGTCAACTTGTGAAAAATTGAATTTCATTAGTGTGACAGTATATGATGCTGTACGTGACTGTACATTATTTTTAATCCTTCGAATTCCATCTAACCATTGCGCATAAAATTTTAATTCTTCTATTTTTTGTATGTTAGATAACTTATCAAATGGAATCCACTCAATCACGCTTTCGTAGCTTGAACTTTTAAGTTGAAACTCTCTAATGCAATCATCGATATTATTATTTCCACTGGTCCATCCTTGAATTATTTTAAAAGGATCACACGACTGACACCAGGCAAAGGAGGTGTTATACCTCTCGCACTGCGCACATTTTCCATATATGCTATCCATCCAAGAGCAAAAATTGTCAAATATTAACTGTATGTATTACAGCAGTCATTCAAGGGTTATTATAGTACTGTATCACGAAGATTACATCATCTGTGTTACAAAAAAGGTATTTATGCAAATAGCGACCGGACAAAGTCACGGGAGCAGATTATCGTGAGATATCATGTAACACAGTGAATGATGTAATTATACTTGCCATCCATATCCCATTTAACCCTTATTTGTCTATCCTATCCCCATCCATATTCATCCCATATCCCATAATGTATATTCCTAATCCCTACATATCCCATTTTAAAAAATCCCTTTCGTTCAATTACATATCCTATTTATTCCTTATTAGTTTATTCCATTCCAATCTCATATTTATTCCTTATTTCATAATTTACATTTCTAATCCTTAATTCTTTAGTATAGTATAAGTTGTATACAATAACTTAGAAGGTAATACAATAATATGTGAACACTAAACTTTCAGCTTCGCATCACGACCGATAAGTCATTATTTTTAGTAATACGCGATCTTTAATTTAGGGTGTGGATTAGTATCTAGCCGAGTATAATACATTGAATTTATATTCTTTGGATTCTTCTTATGTAATACTTTACTTTTATTAAACGATTTGTCACTTCAGTTACTATCAATCTTATAAGTCTTAGTTTTTTATTAGTTGCGCACTTATAGTGTGTTATAAAAATATTTATTGAAATCTACAAAGTATAAAATTTTTTTTCAAAATGGATTAATATTCTATTTTACTGGACTAAGCTATTTTTCTTTTTACTGGCAGATGATACATATTCTTAAGCCCATGCTTTACTGTATATTTGAAATTTATAATAAATACTTTTATCTGCTTCTCTATTCTTGTTTCGAGAAGTGACATGCTGCACATGCTATTAAAAAAATAATGAAAGCTCTGGCAAGGAAGGAAAAACAGATTATTATGAGAATAAATAGCTAATATCC